AATTATAACATTTTTAATCTTTTCGTTTGAAATTCACCATCGTTGAGTAGGTGAGTTGAACTCTAATCCAAAACTAAGACTAGAAAATTTCAAAAATATTTATCATAAGCAGTCCAATAAAGTAAAAACCCTTATTGCAAGGCTTGTTGCCCTCTAAAAGTGAGGCATTTGAACTTTCTCTCTAAAATGCGACAGCTCCAAATCCACTAAAATCGTATCGTCCTGGAAATTGAACAACTTTTAAAACATAGGGACCCTCTTAATTTAGAGCCCACCACCATCCAATTACAGAGGGAAAATCTTTTTCCCAGAGACTCGCGCATTTCGTCTTTTAGAAGGTAAGCCATAAACAGGTCACCATAACCATACATACCGCAGTTCTCTTTTTGGGGGATTAGGTGCATCAAATCTTCTTAGAAACCAAAATCACCAAAATTTCAGGTAGCTTGTTTGATTCCTTCTGGTAGTTATTGTCATGCAACTTCTTGGAATAACCATATAACTCTCTGCAAATCCTAGAACACGTTCCATATCTTGGTTGTCATTGGTTCTCATTAAAGTTAAACTTGTCTCGGTAAATATTCTAGGTTTCCAGATGCGTGCCACAGATTTGACTCTCTAACACCTAGATCATCCTTTATCCAATGATCATATTTACATCACTGGCTCCTTCTAATATCTACATGCACATTTCTCCTGCCTCTTCTTTCCCCAAATTTGAGGAAAATATATAATCCTCGTATATATTCATGAAAAAAAAAAAAAAAAAAAAGCTTCAGTGTTTATATACAAGGCAAATGTAGCTGAATGAATGAAATTCCTAAGCTAAGCTATTAACAACATCAAAATATAAAAAGGAAAGTAATTAAAGCTAACCCATATATCTTGCTTTCTCGATTTGGGTCTACACGTCTAACTTCACTGTCTTTTTCTGTTCATTTTAGTCTAAAGTTAATTACGCGTTTACTGTATTTTGAGTCTCTAGCACGTAAATCCTTTATTTTAAGAGTTCCATTCCCAGTGCTTCCTACCACATCTAAATTTCTCCTCTTTCACCTCTTCTCTCCCCAAATTAACTTAGGTCAATCTCAGCTAATTGAGATTCTTTCTGCTGATAACTGGCGTATTCAAGGCTACAAACCTTTAGGCATCCTAATCGAGTTTCTCATAAACACCATTTCGTCTGAAGAGTTTTATGGTTGCACCTGGATATCATGGTCAAAGTTCCCCAGCCTTTGACACCACCAGGTATTTTATTACTTCAACTAGACACATCTCATTTTAAGGATTTTTTTGGAAGGGTTATAGAGGACTAGGAGAGGGGAGAGGAGGAGAAGTTGTTCTCTAACTTATTTTTCATTCAAAGTTGGACAGCTTTGACGAAACAAAGTGAAGGAGACTAATTGAAGAAGATGGCCGGGCTCCTGTTCGATGATAAAATGTTCAAGGAGCTATGGGATACATGGAATATTGGAGGACTGATTATTCTAAGCCTCTTTCTGCAGTCTTTCCTTATTCTGTTTGCACCATTAAGAAGGTCAATGGGTGATAAATGGTTCTTCAGGATTCCGCTCTGGATAGCATACTTGCTTGCAGACTGGATTGCTATATTTGTCATAGGACTCATCTTGCATGCTGAACGAAGTCATGACATCGTGGTCTTTTGGGCACCCTTTCTTTTGTTGCATCTAGGTGGCCCTGACACCATTACTTCCTTCTCTCTAGAGGATAATGAATTCTGGATCAGGCACTTGCTTCAGCTTATATTACAGGTTAGTTCAACAATCTATGTTATCATTCAGTCACTCCCACACAACAAGCTCTTGCTCCCAACCCTCCTGGTGTTAACTGCAGGAATAATCAAGTATGCAGAGCGAAACCGTGCTTTGTATCTTGCATGCTCTGACCATTATGGAGAGGCCCGTTTTTCCTTTCTCAAAAAATTTGTTAAAGAGGCTAATTCGAACGAGACTCTCCAGTTACTGCAGGAATTGATACCCTATGGCACTCTCAGGAATCTACTTCTTGGGCCTCTTATTTCTCCCAAACGGCGCCAAATTTGCAGAAAATTCTTCCTCAAAAAAACGCCAAAAGAGGTCCTTGGGATGATCGAGTTTGAGCTAAGCCTCTTGTATGAGATTCTTCACACCAAGTTGCCCGTGGTTAAATGCAAGATTGGATACATTTACCGGATCCTTTGTATGGGTTGCATTTCCGGAGCCTTGTTGTCATTCAGATTAATTACCCAGGCCAAGCAGTACCGTGATGAGTTGGAAAATTCTGAAGTCTGGATAACCTATGGTTTGTTGATTGGGGCCATAACATTGGATTTCATATCGATCGGCTTGCTTATTTCCTCCGATTACTTTATTGCAGATTGCAACAGTTTGCGAGCATTTAAGAATGAAACAAGTCCGGCCTTCGTTGACGACTTAATTAAAGCCAGAGTAAGCAACAGGAGCATGTGGTCCAAAAGAATCCCCCAGCTCAACCTTGTAACCTATTTTGTTAAAGCCTGCCCAGATTGGTTGAACAAGTTGCATAAATTTCTTCCCATAAGGTTTATTTTGGAGTTCATTCAAGGATTCCAAAGTATGTCATCACAAGTTTTGGAAGAGCAAGTGTGGAACTACATTTTTATGCAAGTGAAAGAAAAGGCTCAGCTTGCAAATACCGTAGAAAAGGGAAAGCAAATTTGTCTAAGAAGAGGTGATGGAATTCTTAAAAGCCACGGTAACGAAGTTTTAATCACGATTGTAAAGGATTTAGATGATGTGAAAACCCTTCTAACATGGCACATAGCCACCGAATTATGCTTTCTTCAAGTCAAAGACCCTCTGTCTACATCTTCGTCTGAGAATCCGAACTACCGAGGGATATCCAAGTTGCTTTCAGATTATATGTTTTACCTTCTACGTGAGGAGACTGTTTTAGGGTCCAAAATTGATCGGAGAATGGTTTTTGACGACACATATAAACATATCCAATCTGTCTGCCTCGAAAAAGATGTCTGCCTCGAAAAAGATGTCTTCCAAAGAATTTCAACAAACCCAGTGGGTAAGCCTCCTGATTGTGCACCGAAATCTGTTTTGCATAAAGCGCAAACGTTATTCGATGTACTGAAGGGATCAGATGAAGGCATTCCGTGGAAGTTAATAAGCGAAGTTTGGGTTGAATTAATGTGCTATGCTGCTATTAATTGTAGGCCAAATTTGCATGCACAACAACCAAGCATGGGTGGACAACTCATCACTATTGTTTGGTTGTTGATGAATCATTTCGGCCTAGGAATTCAATTTGAAACTGATAGAGATGCTGTTCGTGCTGAAGATCAAAGGGACAAGTGTGTGACTCAATGTGCTGTTGATGTGATGAAAGAGACAAGTGGTGATACTGATAGAGATGCTGTTCGTGCTGAAGATCAAAGGGATAAGTGTGTGACTCAATGTGCTGTTGATGTGATGAAAGAGA